CGTCGTGGTATTATCGAGACAAACCGCTGTAGGTTATGTCAAATAGTTGGAATCTTAGATAGTTGGAAAATTAGAAATTCCGGGATGATGAATAATCGTGAAGAGGTGGACTTGTATCGGGACACATATGTGAGATATTTAGGTTAATAAGAAGTAAATTATTAAGCGATGTTATTAAAATTTTCTGTCATGTTTTTCTTACTTTATTTTATAACTCTATGAAACATATCATTGTAAATATATTTGATTTTTCAGAAAATGTGTAATGGCACAGCAATAACTATAGTGAAATAATTAGATAATATATGAGCATTTTAAAAACGTTCTGTTACGTAGATTAACAAAGTAATTTTTTTCTCTTTAGGTTATGCAAATGAAGTTGGAGAGGCATTTAGGAGTCTAGTACCAAAATCTATTGTGTGGTTTAGTTATGCACTGTCAAGTGGATATGTTCTTGCGGATACGGTGCACAAGGGTGCAAAAGTCTACCAAGTATATGATTATAGGTTTCAGAAATTTAATTAAAACGAAATAATTATTTAAATAATTAATAATTTATTATATTACAGACAGATGCTACTTCACAAAAAACTAAGAATGTTCTACTTTCCACATCGGACACTTTGATATGGCAGACATTTGCATCTATAATAGTTCCTGGTCTTACCATAAATAGAATTTGCGCAACGGTTCAGTTTGCACAAAAAAAAAGTACAAGAGTGGCTTTTAAAAAGCCTTGGATTTCAACACTTATCGGTTTGATATCCATACCTTTCATAATACATCCAATAGACCATGCCGTGGAAGGAGCAATGGATGTTACATACAGGAAGTGGACAGGATACCATCCAAAAGCGCCTTTATGTGGAATAAAACATGAATAACGAAATGTAGTCAGTTAAAGGTATAGTATATTATTAACTTGAAAGAGGTCATGCTTAAAACAATGTTTTGATGAATATATTGAAGAATGTTTCATTTTTAACACAAGATAGTTAAAAGGCCTTTAATAATGATGGATTATTAATAATGATGGATAAATATAATTATATTTTTCATAATTTTTATTATCGAAGGATGATATATATATATGATAACGATAACAAATTTATCTGAAAATTCTATTAAAATTGATTGAAATTTTTTATAATGATATACGAAATAAAAAAAATTATATATAATATGAAATAAGCTTTACCAAACAAAAAAAAAAAAAAAACGTAAGAAATTAAATTTAAAAAAATTTTATTAACAGAATTTTATTAACGAAAGAATTTTATTCTATGAAGCTTTATTAAGCTGGAAATCTATAAAATCATTTTTCAGAGAAACATAAGGCTAGCTTGAATTTTCGTGACCTCTTAATATAGATACAGTGTAAAATATTACTGCCAGATATATTCTAAGATAGTACAACAATGCAATATTAGAATATTTTATTATTAATTGCAAAAATGTTAAATATTTTTGTTACAATGTACATATTATGCAGCTATATATGCATTAAGATTAATATATATAATATCAAATCATATTAAATTATATGTATTTCTTTTTTCAAATTAATATCTTCTGCAAATGCATATTATAACAATTTTTTTTTCTATATCTTTTACTAAATTAAATATAAAGATTAAAATTGTGTGCCTTTCGATAAAAAATTGCGATATTGAAGGAATTTAGATAGTTCCGGGAAATAGAAATAGTTTCGCATGTCAGATACGGCGAAAGGTTCTATACGGCTTTCAACAGTTAATAACAGCGCGATGTGGGTACATTCGTTTCATGAAAATGTATTATGTAAAAAATAATATCATGTGTTGTGGCGGCATTATAATTATACGTAAGTAGTCGATTACGAGATCCTATCTTTCTGTACTTACTACACATTTTCCTTGCTATCGCGACTAAATCTGAAATCCGCTCATGATAAATGAGATTTTAATCGATATACATTTTTAATAGCGATTCGAGCAAGTTTCGCATTAAGACATCAATGAGACCGACTAAGTGTTCCCTTAGATTGCAACTTTCGATCAAAGATAACGTCATGAATTTTCCGTAATAAATAAACGATTTAAAAGCACACAGCTGGCATGTATATTCATTCTTCAAAATTGAAATTCTAATTGAAATTGAATCAATGATTGTATCTAGAAATCCTTAGATTTCATTGTGTTTTCTTATATCCGCAATATTCTTTTTAGTTTTCATTTTTTTTAAGTCTCTTCTATAGATAACAGACTTTATTCAAATGTATTATAATACATTTTATGGAATTTTTTAAAATCTCTGTTTATTCTAACAAAGGTAAATTACATTACTATACAGGGTGTCTGCTCACGAGCGTTGTCAAGGGTGCTTTGGGACACCCTGTATATAGCAATATTGATAATTTTAAGAGCAAATTTTAATTATATAAACAAATTATCTAATTCTTTTTTAATGGAAACTTGAATGATATTGATTAATTATTTCAGAAAAAAAGGTATGGAATTATTTTTAGAGGAATAAAATTTATCTTTATTTTGATTATGATAATGTATTTATGGAAAAATATATAAAATAATATATATTATAGAAAATAAAATAATATAAAATAAAATAATATAAAATAATATATTATAGTAGAAAAATAATATATTTATATTGAATTTATATCTTGAAAGATCTGAGAAAAGAGAACAGGAGGAAGAGAAAATATTTCTCGCGCGTTCTGTGACATGAACAATGCAGAATGAGATCGCACGTGCGATCGAGGTACTTGTTCACCCCTCAACGACACATATCGCATGTTCGATAATTAATAATAATAATAAATCCTTTCTGCTGCTCTTTCGCATTTTTTCCCCTCTCGCGCTCGCGAAATTACGCGGGGCGCGCGCGTTTAAAGAAATTTCAATGTGGTTATCGGCGATAATATATATCGGGCCTGTAATCGTATAATAACTACGCGATTACGGGCTCCGCTCGGCCGTAAATGAGGCAGCCTAGCTCTAACCGTAAAGTTTTAACCGCGCTAATAACGCAGCCCTTACTATAAATACCCGCGCGCGCGACTAAACTATAATACCCTCCGGGCGTGCAATTGCAATGAAGTCGTTCGTCCGTTCTCGCGAACACGGCGATCGTAAATATCGCCGAATAGACGGAAGCTCGCGATAATCCTCGCAATAAATAGTCTGTTATGGCCCCGTCTTACAATTAGAAGCGACCACGGTCACGTTTTCTGGACGCTCGAAAATGCACCCGTTGTATTCTCTTCCATCGTCCTTTCTTTCTTTCGAGAGCGTATTATTGATTGCTCGCTTGTATTAAATTAAATTGTATTAATTTCATCATTTATTCATTGACATAATAGACGAATTGCATAGGAATATATTTAAAATAATTGCATAGAAACGTTTTATTACAACGTGTATTGTTGCAGTAATGTTATATCACGTAATACTTTTACATTGTTTTTTTAAACGTCACTGCAATATTACTGAATCTGCTCTATTAAATCTCGCAATTTTTGAAAAATAATTCGATGAAGTTTTAGACAATGAGTTTTTAATTATGATAGGATTTTTAATCATTTTTATCACCCACTATTACTGTGATATTGAATTGACTGCGACATTAAGATTCCTGAATTAAGTCTCCAAATGTGTCAAATCTTGTCTGTGTTAAAGCGTCACACATTCATTATACATGTACATATACATATTCTTGACCCTGATTGATATCATGATTTCCGTTCGAATGTAAATAACAACATGATAAAACACGATGATACTTGTGTTTTGTTGTTGTGAATTGACACGTTTAACCAGCGGGCGATTTTTTTTTTATGGCAGCCCATAATAATCTCAATTAACTTCTCGATAGTCTGTCGACCCTCGTAATAAGCTTAACCGAGCGCAACAATATAATTTATAGAAGTCACTTCTTTACGACTAATTATGACGAACTACGATCGTACGAAAGAGAGCCCATTAAATCGTGCTGGTCCTCATTAAGAGGAGACGAAACGTGCAAGGGAAGCGAAGACGATATCCACCGACCTATCTCCGATTCGCGTGGCTCTATCTCGCATGAAATATCTTCCGGATATACCACTTTATATTACGAATATATCTCGTGATGCTTATCTTAACCATACACACATTGATCTGACTTTTAAATCCTGCTAATTTTTTTTTTTTCAATGATAAAATATTTTTTATCTTCGAAATTAATAGAATAGCAAATAAATATATGTAGTAATGAATAAAAATTTTTGCAAAAATTTTACAATTGAAAATTTTACGATTATACTTTGTGAACAATACAAAAATTAAATCTTTATTTGGGAAGAGGAAATAAAACAAATGTATAGGCTTTAATCTACTTAACAAAGTGTAGAATTTAAAGTTTCACTGAATAATTGATTAATGAATTGAAACAATTCTAGGCAAAATAAACATTTCTATTCACAGTGATTCGTTCCTATTCATGAAAGGAGGCTGTCGCAGCAACAGCATTCGGCCACTCGGTTAATGGCATGTGGAGTCCTTTAATCGATAGAAAGGAGCGCGTACTCTGCGATATCTCGCTGTATTTCACGAGTCAAAACGTTCGTATACGTTTGTACCGGCGCGTATAGCGAGAGAAAAAGATAGG